GGGACCATGACAGCTTTGCTTCCTCGGAGAGTGTATATACACTAATTTGTTTACTCATAGTTTATCTCATCTACATAATGTTTCATTAAGTTTTGGGATTATTACATGTCCAAAATGGCTGACAAGTTGTAAGCGGTCACATGTCTGCAAAACCTCTATAGGACTGATATATATTCAGTCAGAAATTTTAAGATTTCACTTACCTTCGTCATTGCAATTCTGTTGAATTGATGTGATGAAAATCTGATGACTCTGAGCTGTATTTATAAGCAGAAATCAATAATTACTGATACAATACAAAAATGTGGTTTAAAGTAGTTCATTAGCGCATGGAGACAGATCTCCATAACAAAGCCTCAAATGAAGGCTGCAAAACAGAACACACATCTTACTCAGGAGCTCTACTCAGTGGTATGTTGCTAAATCAGTCCAGACTCATTCTGGTCTCTTTGTTTTACTTCATTTCTAAAGTATTTTCTGTCAACTCTGGACCTCCATTTGCTGAGGTGACTGCATGGATCAGCTGTCGCAACAGGATTGTTTTGGTTGTAATCACTGAAGCAGATTGTGGACACTGCAGGTGAAAGAAGCTGTTAAGTTGAAAAAGTCCAAGGTTGGTTAGCCTGTGGGACTTCAGAGTTAGCTAACGGCTAATGGCACGCCAAGTGGAATGTAGCTCTGTCAGTGGTGGAAGCAAAACCAAAAGGAGTTTGGTGAAGCCATGGAAAAAGAATTTCAATCTGCCTAAAATCAATTCTGGCAAACTGTCAGGTGACTCAGGAGAGCAAAGCGGGCCTCTACTCACAGTGTTTAGTGGGCGTGGGGTGCTCGTGACTTCAACTGAGGTTATAGTCAGGGTGGTGGAAGGAATACTTCCAGGACCTCTTCAATCCCACGCACATGCTTTTTGTAGAGGAAGAGTCTGGGGATGAATCATCACTGAGGATGTTAAACACATCCTTGATTGTCACACTTGTTTCCTCTGGGTATTGGACTCCACCAGGTCTGCCATTTGTCACTGACTCAGTTCATAGGTTTTAATGGACAGAATACTTCTTTAGCCAAGTGGCCAAAGGCTTTGAGGAATGCTGGACCACCTCTTCACCAGGCCTCAGAATCCCATCTCTGCTTTTTGCTGATAATGTGGTTGGCTTCATCAAAGCTTGGCCTCCAGCTTGCACTGGACTGGTTTGCAGCTGAGTGTGAAGCAATGGAAATGAGAATTAGCACCTAAAAGTCTGAGGCCATGGCCCTAAGCCAGAAAAGGGTGGAGTGCCCACTTCAGATCTGGGAGAATTTGCCGCCCCAGGTGGAGGAGTTTAAGTATCTCAAGGTTTTGTTCACGAGTTAGGGGAGAAGGGAGTG